GCAATTACGTATATCCACATCACACCCTACCCTTTGCCCGTAATAGTTAATTGCACATGTTAACTATTGCGTTCACAGCGCAAACCCCAAGATCCGTGGAGTCGTCGCGCGCTCAGTCAGCTGCGCGATCCACCTGTGCAGGAATCGCCTCGTCGAGTTGCAGATTCTAGCACCGCCAGTCAAGCTAGGTCGCGCCCTCGTGTCGCAGCGGTCTAGTCCTCGCACCTCCGCGCCTATCAAGCCGCAGCGGTCGTGCCCGTCTCTTCATTCAGTGAATAAGAGACTGTTCTCTTCATCCAGCGGATAAGAGACCTCCCTTTATTATACGTCGACGAGTTGTCGCCGTTTCCCTATGTCATTCGTCAACTTCAATGCCGACGACGGTAGCGATCACCCCTCTCACTCCAGCAGCAACGACAACGACATCGACCGTGGTCTGTCCAGCTCCGCCGCAGCACCTGAATTACCCGAGTTTGACGACGAGCTTCACGATCCCTTTGATCTCGGCGACCTTTTCGACGTTCTCACCGAGGATTACGTCGCTGACACTGACGTTAGTCGTGCTGCTCTGGTTGAGGCCGACCTCACCTGCGGCATAGAGCATTTTCTGAGTGGTCTCAACAACGACGAGAGACCTCATTTCGTTTCCCGCGACTATCTTGTCACCGCTGGCGAGATCGCTGGCGAGCCCGCCTTCCAATCCATCGTCGACCCCCTCGGTCGTATCTTTCTCTCTGTCCTCGAGGACAACGGCGATCTCGCAACTGATCTTCAGCGCTCTAAACACAAACTTGGTGTCGCCCGCCGTATCGCCGACGACCGTCAAGCCGACTTCGATACTCTCAACCTCGAACACATCGCGCTCAAGCAGGAACTCGAGGACCTCAAAGCAACCATATCCGCGGCCCCTACCGGCATCGTGGCTGGCGCCCCTCTGCCCAGACGTGTCATTGAGGACCCTCCCGCGTTCGATGGCAAGGAAAAGGATCCCGCTCGCCGCTGCGAGGCTTTCCGTGCTTGGAAGTTCCGCATTGTTACCGCCTGGCGCATTGATGCCCCCCATTATCAGACCGAGGATGTCAAGATCCTTCGCGCTGCCATGCTGCTGGGCCCGGAACTTCTCTCTAGCATCCAGGCGGACCTCGAGGCCATAATGATGGAACCCGATGAGGACAAATGACGCTGGAAGACCGGCGTCGACTTCATGAAGCATCTTAGCGATCGCTTTGACAACGTCGACCTAAAGTTCGACGCCTCTCGTCGCCTGGCGGATCTGTATCAGAGGAACATGCCGTTCACTGAATTTGAGGTCGAGCTGACCAAGCTCATGGACCGATGCAACTTCGACCCCGCTATGAAGCTTTACTACCTTCGTAACAAAATCAACAAGCGTCTTCGCGACGCCTTGGTTCACCGTGAACAACCCCCCGGCAAAAGCGAGTTCGTCAAGTGGCTCGACCTTTGCCGTCTCGTGGCCCGCAATCTCGAGGACGCCGACCATCGCAACAAGTTAGCCAGTCACTTTTACAAAGCAGACACCAACAGTAACACCGGTAATGGCAGCGGCAACAGTGGCAACCAGATGGACCTCGACGCTGTCGGCCTTGCCGGCATCATTCACCAGGAGGTCCTTGACCAGCGTCAACGTGACGGCCAGTGCCGCCGTTGCGGTCAGCCCGGCCACATCGCTCGTGGCTGTATCAATTCCGTCAACTATGGTTCCAAGGGCCGCCAGGACGGAAAGGAGTCTAGAAAGAAGAACCGTGGTGGCCGCGGAGGTAATCGCGGAGGCGGCAACACCAGTGATCAGCAGGCCGAGGCCCGCGCCGCTACCGCCGCTCCTGCTACTGCAGCCGCCGCTCCCGCCGAGTACTACAACGAGCCGGGAAATGCCTACCCTCTGTGCCCAGTCGCGTACAGAGGCCTGACCGGTTACCAGCGTTGTGGAGACAAGTTTCAGACTCATCATCAGAGTCAGAGGATTTGGAAGAGGTACGGATCGAATCATTAGATAGTTCGTCTTCAAATTCAATACTCTTGTCTTCCTATGTTGTGGCCGGCTCGCGCAAATATCATTGTGTTTCATTCGTTGATAGCGGATGCTCCGCCTTTGCGTTCATTGACCGCTCTTTTGTCCATACGCATAACCTTCCCCGTTTTCGCTTACTTCGTCCCAAAAAGCTTGTTCTGGCTGACGGTATAGTCAAAGGCATCATCTCTGAAGGGGTGAGAGCCAAGTTCCGCGTTGGCTTTCACGAGGAAACGATAACCTTCTTGGTTCACGACATCTCCAAGAACCACCCCGTTATCTTGGGTTTCCCATGGATGCAGTTCCACAAGCCTACAATCGATTACGAGAAGTGCGGTGTGCGCTTCAACCACCCAGACTGCTGTAGCCGCTGTCTGCCTCACAATCTCACGAACGAGCAAATGACAGCGCCTCAAGCCCTCACCAGCCGAGTCTCTGTAGCCTCGGCTCGCCTACATGAGAAGGCCGCCCCCCAACCTTCTCTCCCACCTCTTCCTCCTCCCCCTAACACCCTCACTAGGGCTAGTCCTGACTTTACCTCTGGTAGAGGAAATCCCCAGACCCAGGAGAAGAAAAGTGAAGAGCTACCCCCTCGAGAACTTGAGGATCTCGAGCGAACCCAGGACCGTGAGCGCCCCCCTTAAAGCACTCGTAGCCAGCCGGGCCGGGACCAAGGTCCAGGGTATCTCCGGCACGGCCGCCCTCCTCGTCAAAACCAATAATCCCGCGCTTCACGAACTACACACCCGACTCAACGGCAAACATGTGTCCACGGACACGCGCCGCACTCTCATCCGCAAGTCTGCTGCGGTAGCCGGCGACTTCAACCCCAACGACATTCAGGAGCTCAACGCTGCCACGTTCAACTATATCTGCGAGAAGCGTGGGTTGCAGGCGTTTGTCACAAGTTATGCCCAGCCGGAGCGTCTGGCCGGTATTGCAGAGGCACGGGGCTTGGACCTGACCGAGGAGATGGTCAATAACATTCTGGAAGGAGAGGGAGAACAATACAAGGACAGTCTTCCCCCCGGCCTTCATAGTTTTATTGATAGTTTGGCCGGCAAGGCCGCCTCACAGGATGAACAAGACGCTGCCCTTATCGCCCGAACGATCATCCTTACAGAGAACTTTGACACCGACGCGCCCGTTTGCGAAGAGACAATCCGCCGCGTTCAGCTTGCTAAGATAACCGAGGAGGACGCCAGAAAGTTCCTCGACAAAGCAGACAGGCCCGACAAGACCGACGAGGAGACCAGGGCTATGCTACCGAGCGTTTATCACGATCAGATCGCCGCTTTCCAGCCGGGTCGCGCCAACGAGGTGCCTCCCAACCGTTCTTAGGACCACAAGATCGAGCTCCGCCCAGGAGAACACCCCCCCCAACGCTCACCCACGACCAATGTCGCCGCTCGAGGCCGTCGTCGTGAAGAAATGGATCGACGATAATCTCAGGAAGAAGTTTATCCGCCCTTCCCAATCCGAAGCCGCCTCGCCCATTCTACTGATCAAGAAGCCGGGCGGCGGGGTCCGTATTTGCGTGGACTACAGAGGAATCAACAACGTCACGACGAAGACACGGCACCCGTTGCAGCTTATCAAAGAGACCCTCGACGCCATCTGTAAGGCGAAGATTTTTACCAAGCTGGACGTCATTGCGGCGTTCAATAGGATCCGTGTGAAGGAAGGTCATGAGTGGCTTATTGCGTTTATCACGCGTTTCGGTCTCTTTGAGTCCCTGGTGTGTCCTTTCGGTTTACAGGGCGCGCCGGGGACTTTCCAGAACTACATTAACGACGTGCTACACGACATTCTCGATATTTACGCGACCGCTTACCTCGATGATATTTTGGTTTACTCTGAGAACGAGGAAGAGCATGTGAGCCACGTCAAAGAAGTCCTAAACCGTATGATTAAGGCCGGTCTGCAGATCGATATTGACAAGTGCAAGTTTCATACACAACGAACGAAATATCTGGGTTTAATCATCACCCCGGGCGGCATCGAGATGGACTCCCAGAAGGTGTCTGCCGTTATTTCATGGGAGGCCCCCGACTCCAAGAGAACATTGCAGCGATTTCTAGGCTTCGCTAATTTTTATCACCGTTTTATCAAGCACTTTTCCATAATTGCAGGCCCCCTCTATGAGTTAACCAAGAAGACGGAAGATTGGCACTGGAACAGCCAACACCAAAAGTCCTTCGAAACTCTCAAGAAGGCTTTCAGCAGCGGACCAGTCCTTCGTATTTATGATTGGGCCAAACGAACGGTCGTCGAGACGGACGCTTCCAACTGGGCTTGCGGCGGCACGCTGTCGCAATACGACGACGAAGGCATTCTGCGCCCAGTAGCGTATTTCAGTCAGCGACATTCGTCAGCGGAATGCAACTACGATATCTACGATAAAGAGTTGTTAGCCATCATCAAGGCGCTGGAGGAATGGGACCGGGAGCTTGCCGGAGCTCAGCAGCCGTTTGAAGTCCTTACTGATCACAAGGGGTTGAAGTCCTTTACGGTCAACAAACAGCTCACCCCCCGGCATATGCGATGGTCTCAATTCCTATCACGGTTCAACTTCACTATCCAGTACCGCCCGGGTCGCTGCAGGTGCGCCCCGACGCCCTGAGTAGGAAGCCAGAGGACATACCCAAGGACGAAGCTGACGAGCGGCTGCTCGCAAGGAACAAAGTCCTTTTGGACCAGAACATCTTCGTAAATGGGGCTTTCGTCTTGTCGGAAGCAGGAAGGAATGAGGCCTTTGTCAGTTCAGCATGCATTTGCGAGCTGGAGGTAATGGACGAGAAGTCAACGGAGGACTTGGTCACGGAAAGCTACGAGAAATCGGTTCTTTTGCAAGACATTGTGGCTAGTCTGTCGGACCCGGGGAGGAAGGCCTGGTCCAAGGAAGTAAAAGAGCACATGAAGAAGGTTTCTTTCGCGGAGTGCAGGGCACTCCAGGGCCGGGCTTACTACCGCGGCGCCATCCTCCTCGACCCTAACGACACGGAGCTCCAGCTATAACTACTTCGCCGCGTTCACGACGCGCCGTCTGCGGGACACCCAGGCAGGGAGAAGACGTACTCGTTGCTTCTCCAGTCTTTCTACTGGCTGGGTATGTACAACTCGGTTAGGGTATACTGCAAGGCCTGCCTTCAGTACGCGAAGACTAAGCCGTCACGATACTCCCCTCATGGTTTGCTGAAACCGCTAGCCGTGCCGTTCGCGCCATGGAAGGATATCTCCGTGGATTACGCCACCTCGTTGACCATCTTCCTCCTACA